TCTGTCCTACGAGTACAACTTGTAAATGCATGGTTCATGGTTTATCAATTCATTACATTAGGTTTTAAATATTCACAGCTTACACTGACGTTTGACGTAATGTAATGAATTGATAAAACCATGAACCATGCATTTACAAGTTAGTACTCGTAGGACAGATGTGGTGCAGTTACTATCCACAATACTTTATTTATTTGCTCATTATTTAGATTTTAGTCTGCGTATATATATGATGCGGTTCAAACCCTCAAATGTGATCTTTGATGCGACATTGAAGCGTTACATTATGGAGAACATTTGTGCCACAACTAGGCAACTTAAGAGGAGACAGTGTTGTTAAAAAAGGGTTCACGAGAGAGGCGATGTAATCTACTGAAAATGTTGTGGCCTTCTGTCTTTGAATTCTGATGTTCAGCCATTCTGTAATGAGAAAATGAGCTGTGTTGTGTCGACCTCGTTTTATTATAATACAAGGCAATGAGACATTTTGCGAGAGCACTCATTTAGCAACAGCCTTTCCTCGCCGTGAACTGATTTTTATACACTCGTTTTGTTGCCGATATAAACAGTCTGTGTTGTTGTGTTTCAGAGTCTGGCTCGGGATCCGGTTCAGACTCCGATCGGGAAAGACCTCGATCTGCCAGCAACGCCTCGGGCAGCGGCAGTGACAGTGAAGGGAACGGGATGATGACGACGAAGAAGGCCAGGAGGGAGGAAAACCCAGTATGAACAAGGTTTGTAGCTGTGTTTGATACTAAAAGAAAACTGAGTGTGGATGGAGTCCTGTAGTGGAAGACGGAATAACAGTGAAACTTTGCCTGAACCATTTCTTATTGCATCCAGCATTTTTATCAAGCATCTTCTTAATCCTATTGCTTTACTGATGTCAGGCACCATGAAGACACTGCCACCCTGCTAGAACTGCTGAGTTACATTATGTTCACTCCTCTTTGCTGAGGTGACAAGGTGAGTTAGAGTCAGCTAACTCCTCTCTTTCTAACTAACAGGAACTGTTTGGAGATGACAGTGAGGACGAGCAGCACAGTCAACACAGCGGCAGTGACAACCAGTCTGAACGGTCGGGGAACCAGTCAGACGCCAGCATGCACTCAGACCAGGCGGAGAATGAACACTCTGATGTAGAGCAGCACAGCGGCTCAGAGCGGCCATCGAGATGAGGACGAGGAAGAAGGGGCCACAGGTCCGATGGAGGAAGCCCAGCTGGCAGCGAGATGTCTGGAGCAGGGAGCCCTCGCTCTGACAGAGGGAGCCCTCGCTCTGACAGAGGGAGCCTTCGCTCTGACAGAGGGAGCCCTCGCTCTGACAGAGGGAGCCCTCGCTCTGACAGAGGGAGCCTTCGCTCTGACAGAGGAGCCCTCGCTCTGAGAGGGGCAGTGTTCACTCAGACAGAAGGTAGGCCAAAACACAGTGATGTGCTTTATTGTTTAGGGCAGGGTACCATTTGTAGAGCACTATTCATCCATAAAGCAATTCAAATATTTTTACAAAGTTAAAAAACAAAACATAAGAAGACAAGAAATTGAGCAAAAATAAGACATCAAAGAAAATATGTATTAAAGGAGCAGCATGTAACTCTGATACGTTGTGTGTGTGTGTGTGTGTGTGTGTGGGGGGTTTCCATGTGGTGGGCACTGAAGCTCCTGCCCTGCATCGGTCTTGAAACCTTTCTGGGTTCTAACCTCATTTCATTTTTCAAACGCCTCTTCAATATTTATAATGGTTTTAGCACGTTTCTGCTCCTGGAGCTTAATAGAAAAATGAGGCGGCTTTTTTTAATGGAGTTAGATCAGTCTCAGTATTCGCAAATGCACACAGAAGGATTCACAAATGTATTTCAATACACACACACATATATATTTCATTCTAGATAAATGTAAAACAAATCCACAAATAAAAAAAAATAAGATTGTGAAGATAAGTGTTGATAAGCATTTTTTTTAGAAATGCCGGCCTTAAAGATCTTCCTCCTCTCAGAGAATGAATACGCTCAGGCCAGAGAGCGACAGAACACAATGTGAGACAGTGACGCGTTTGTTTCAGCTCTTCTATAGGGACAACAATGAATGAACAAAAGCACAGATGTTGCCTTACCTGAACTACAGTTGCTACATTTAAGTTTAGTCAGTGATATTTTTTTACTGTTACCTGTAGGTCTAAAAAGTCAAAATACAAACAAACAGCTGAAATCCCAGTCTCACAATGCCTCAGACCATTGTTTGTTTCAACACACAAAAATCCACCTAAGAATGATAAAAACAATAGCAGCTTTGAGAAGCTTAAGTTTGTTTTGTGTTTTTAATAAATGAACTAAACAAATAATCTGTGTTTCATGTTTGTTCTGCTTATCCTGTAATCCTTTGAGTGAATGATATTTTCAAGCACTTATCACAAAATGTACTTGAGTGATTTTAGAATAAAAAAGAGTCACGAACGTAATAACTACGAATCATTCGTCTGTGTTTGTTTGAAATACAGCGTGCACAGCGACCCCCGGACTCCTCAGTCTGTTCCCGGCACCCCTCACTCTGACGGAGAGGCTTCTGGCAGGGAGAACCAGTCAGATGATGAGAAGTGGGAACGAGGGGCCAAGAGCGACCAATCAGAGGACGAGGAGGAGAAACGCCGGTACTCTGATGAAGAGAGAGAGAACTCGGACGACGAGGGCCGAGGAACAGGAAGTCGGTTACGCCACAGGGTCAGTATAAAAGTTAGAGGTGGTTGACCTCTGGATCATCAGCCCCCCCCCCCCCCCCCACCACCACCACCATCTCTGTTAATCTTCACACATTAGATTTCATGAGAAGAGGATTAGAGGCAGATGTGAACATTTATATCCTAAACTGAGAGAGTTGAGATTAATCTTTCAACTCCGGAAGAAGTTTTCTCTCAGTCTTTTTGTATGCAAGAATTATTCTTTCACATCTGGTGCTTTTCTATGTTCTGTAAATCATGCAGGACACTGGATTGTATTTCAACTGTTTTCATTTCTTCCTTTTTTTTTAAGGCTCGGCAAAGGGGAGCGATAGTGAGGATGATTTCCTCAGACAGAAAACCAAAGCGAAAGCTGCCTCTGATTCGGATTCTGACAGCGATATCGGAACCAAGAAGAGTAAGAAAACGTTTGCTCCTTTCTGTTTTTTTATACAGTAAACATTACATTGTTGGTTCATCATAGTATCTCCTGGAAAAGCAGAGTTAGTCGGTTTTATAAGCTGCTTTACCGGGTATTAAAAAAAGGTCTATACTCTCCTGCAGCAAAGACAACAGCAGCAGACGACCTGTTCGGAGAAGCAGACGACATCTCATCTGACAGTGATGCAGAAAAGCCTCCGACCCCTGGACAGCCTCTGGTATCTACCTGCCCTCTCACGCTGTCTCTTTCCTCCACAAGTTACTAAGCCTCTTTAATTATTACGCAGTCATTTTTTTTTTTTTGGAGGGTCCCAAATCTCTTTTTCTCAGAGCTTCTCACTAAGCTTCTAGAAGCTAATCCCCTTTATCAAAGGTCACTGAATCTCACTTTAAAAAAAATAATAATCTTGTCTTCTCTCTCTCCTCTTTGTGTGTGTGTGTGTGTGTGTGTGTGTAGGATACAGAGGATGGGATGGAGGGGGAGCATGCAGAAGAGGAGCCTGCGCCTGAAACCCGTATTGAAGTAGAAATCCCTAAAGTCAGCACAGACCTCGGTCTGACCTTTATTTTGTCAAGTTGCCCAACTTTCTGTCTGTAGAGCCCAGGTATGAACACTCCTACTGTCACTATATACAACATAAACACATAAACACGTGTTGTAGTTGACAAGCTTTATAATGTAGTCAAGGTTTAAAGAAAAACTAAATTCCAAACATTCAAAAAATGTGATCCTTGAAAGTTGAAGTTATTCAGGATCGTCGTGTCAGGAGTTTTAACACAGTTTTCCTGATGGTGTTCAGTTGAATGTGCTGGCTTGTGTAACTTCAGGGTCTATTTGAATAAATATTTTTTTATTAAATTCTGCTCTATAGGCCTTTTGATCCTCAGTACTATGAGGATGAATTTGAGGATGAAGAAATGCTGGATGAGGAGGGACGAACAAGGCTCAAACTGAAGGTATGTTTTTGTCGCTGTGTGTGTGGTGTGTAAAGGAAATTAATCCAAAATGTTAATAGCTTGAAGGAGTTGTAGCTGAAAGTCTGTTTCACATTGAGATATCGCTGCAGTGCCGCTATGACACTTTGACATCATTATGCCTTTATACCTCTTCACTGAACCAACAACAGCGTAATATTGATGTCCCACTCTGTGATTTTACAAAGGGTTAAGGCGCCGCAGTGGTATTAGAGGCATAATGTGTTTACAGTGCTGGTTTAGGGGTGGCTACGCTCCATTACAACACTTGTGTGACGTTTTAACTGCAGGGACTTAACAGTACTGTCTTTTTCATACTTGCCTTTATCGGTTATGACAGCTGAAGAGAGACTGTTGGTGGATAACATGCAGCAAAGGTCAGAGGTCGGATTCGAACCCACGGCCGCTGCGCTGAGGACTATTGCCTCCGTACATGGGGCGTGCATCATAACCCCTAGGCTATTGGCGCCCCGTCACAGTACCGCCTTAAAAAAGGGCCGTATGATTCTTGTCACTTCATTCAGAGTGACTAATGTTTTCATTTTTTTCCGTCTCCCCTGCAGGTTGAGAACACAATTCGGTGGCGAGCCAAAAGAGACGAGGAGGGAAATGAAACACGAGAGAGCAACGCCCGGATCGTCAAATGGTCTGACGGCAGGTTAGTGCGTTATATCATACTGGAGGTGTAGGGTTATTACCCTGCGAACAGGTGGTACTCTGTACTTTCTGTGCTTCTGAAACGTCTTCTCTCCTTCCACAGCATGTCCCTCCACCTGGGGAACGAAGTGTTTGATGTTTACAAAGCTCCTCTACAGGGAGACCACAACCACCTGTTCATCCGTCAGGGCACAGGACTGCAGGGACAGGCTGTGTTCAAAACCAAACTCACCTTCAGGTAACACACTAACATGCCACTGTTGTGCTTGGTGACAGGTGGCTTCTTCAGACCAGAGTCTAACACTCACTTGAATTAGAAACTATCAGTTGCCAGGGACACTCCTCCCCCTCCTCCTCTTCCTCTTCCTCCCCCTCCTCAGTCTGGCTCCCTGACAGCCGTACATGCACTAAATAAGCCCCAGGATGTCTCTCATTCCAAACAACAACAATAGCAGCCTTCATACAAGCTCTGTTCAGAAGTGTACAGTGTTAGTCGCTGGATCACCTTGTGCAAGCTGCCCCAGGTTTTCTCCCAGTAAGAACTGGTTAAGCCTCTTAGTGCCCCTAGGTCCACCTGGATGTTCTGTCTTCTGGAACCACATGGGTCTAGTAGGAAAGGGGCCAAAGCTGCTTTAAAGCCCTGCAGGCCTCCACGCTCCCAGACAGGACATTACTATTTGTTCTGATCAGGTCCAATCATCAGAGAGAAGTTTGATTAGGATTAAGACTGAAGCTGCTCAGCGTACAGCGGTTAGGTAACAGTTTTTTTTTTATTAAGAGGAGCTTGAGGCACTGCAGATAGTTGTGGAACAGAAATGTTCAAGTAGAAAGCTTAGTTTTATGTCTGGTTTTAATGAGAATTAATATTACAAACCACAGATGATGTTTTCAGACTTCTGTTGGCTCCTTCTGCTCATGAATCAAATATGAGCACATCATTTAGAGGATGGCTCTAGCTCCTCTAAAATCAAGTTGGGGTTTTTTTCTAACAAGAAAATGTTTTTGCTGAAGCAGCAAAAATGTTTGTATTCATGCAGGTGGAAACAGAATAAAATGCTGATTCTACTGAAACCATTGTGATACCAAAACACAGTTTCATAAAAACATGAGGCAAGGCAGAGAACCCAGTGGGTTTGGGAAGAGTGGAAAACAGCATTTTTTAAATCTGTGCGGTCTGAAGCAAGTTTTAAGCCAAAAACTCTGAGGTGTATGATGCCCTTAGGTGCTCTGTGTAGTTTTTCTGTTCACCTAGCAGTTGTGTTTACATTAGTATATTTCAGAAGACATTTTAAGATTAAAATTAGTTCAACGTATTACCATATTCATATTACATATGGATGATGTCCACCTTGTGATTATTTCTGTAAAAAAACCTTTTTCCATAGCACTGGTAGTACAACTCCACAAGGTAATATTGTATTACTGTGGGCTAAGACAGGCTTGGCAGGGGACAGTGTTGTTTTTACCAATTTGCAATGCAAATGCATTGGTTTTTTGCATTTCCCACTTAAAAACCCACAGGAAATAAACACTTTTTCCCATTATTATTGTTTTTTTCAGGCCACACTCCACAGACAGCGCTACCCACAGGAAGATGACCCTGTCCTTGGCTGACCGCTGCTCAAAGACGCAGAAGATTCGAATCCTCCCCATGGCTGGACGAGATCCTGAGTCGCATCGCAACGAAATGATCAAGGTAACACACACACAGTCTGTCCATCTGTTCCTGTCCTGTTTGTCTTTCCTGTGCCCTGCCCGAGAATGCTTTTGTTACCACGGAGACCAAAAAAGGTTGCATAGGGCCAGTTGGTGGCAAGCATGGGGCTCAGTTACATAAAGTCCTACCCTGACATGCTTACATAATGAGGTCACACAGGGGCCGGTCAAATGGAAATAGTGTCAGCAAGTCAGGGATAGGGTGAGACTTTGGGCTTGTGTATCTACTGTCAACCTAAACATGTTCTGTTGATAGCAAAGTTTGTAGTTTCAATGAGACCGCCTGACTGCACTTGTTGAAGATGAGCAGCACGGAGATTTTCTGGTTGTTTAATGTGTAAACAAACTTTTGATGCCAAGTGCAGTCACATGCCGGACTTGCTCCTGAAAGCCCTGTCATAGTCTTCACAGTCACACCTGTATCAGTGTAGTCTCAATTCAGCTTTATCTCTTACTCAAGGCATCGTACGAGCTGGTTATTGAAGAATATTAATTAGGAAAAAATACACAACAGATTATGCTACAGATAATATTAAGAGAAATTAACAAAAGCAACCATTGCCCCTCATCTATACCCAACATATAACTGAAATGAAGGTAACAGAAAATATATTCAAGTAGTAGCTTGAAACATCGTGTCAAACGTGTCAACATTATTCCCTTTGGTTTGTCTGTCCCGGCAGAAAGAGGAGGAGCGTCTGCGAGCTTCTATACGCAGAGAGTCCCAGCAGAGGAGGATGAGGGAGAAGCAGCACCAGAGAGGCCTGAGCAGCAGTTACCTGGAGCCAGACCGCTACGATGACGAGGAGGAGGGCGAGGAAGCCATCAGCCTGGCAGCCATCAAGAGCAAATACAAGGGAGGAGGAGGCCTGAGAGGTGAGGACGATAAGATGTTTACCACACTCACCTTCTCTCTTTATTCTTTCACCTGCTGTTTTCTCCTTACAAGTCACTGAAACCCTAATCAACATAATTGTGTTTTTTCGTGATCCAGAGGAGCGAGCGAGGATCTACTCGTCAGACAGCGATGAAGGCTCCGATGACGACAAGGCCCAGAGGCTGATGAAGGCCAAGAAGCTTGACAGTGATGAGGTGGGTGGAGTATTAGATGTGCTACGATCTTTATGCCCAAAAACCAATACAGATCATGTCCAGAAAAACTGTGAACTGCTCGTTAATTTATCCTTTAATATGTTGATATATTATACATATAATATTGTAATGGGAAGTACATATAAAACCAGCCCCAAAACTAGTATGTTTACTAATCTGCAGAACCTGTCAAGGCCAACTCCTCATAAGGTCTGAATGAGTGAACTGCTGAATTGTGGAACAGATTTTCAGCTCTGCTTTGGGGTCGCTCCTTATTTTTCTGATTTAAAAAAAACAAAAGTAAAGGTGGATCTGAAACAAGCTATTTTGAAAGTTTTCAGGAGTATGAATATTTTTCAAATGTATTCTCTTCCCTCTTGTGGATTTGGTCAAACATCCAGAACTCCATTTTGAGGCTTTCACTGTCAGTGTTTGGTGGTTCCTTTTATAAGTCCTCTGTAGCGTCTTTTATCCCATCTTTTCATTATGTATTTTTTATATGATTAGCTTTTGCACAAATAAGGAGCTAAAGAACTAAAGACAATGGTTTCCAGAAAGGCAGACAGGGGGCAGTGTGAGGCAGGACACAATGTGGGTTAAAAAGCAAACTTGCCTCTTTACCCTCATGTTAACCAGAACAGGACAGGAAATACTAGTCCTGATGATCATGCACTTAATTCTGCACAGACTGTTTCTGCCAAAAAACAATTTGTAGAGCCAGAAAAAGAGCAGCAGCTGTGAAAGGACACACAGAAAGTACTGAAGCAAAGGTACAGAATGTATGCTGCTGTCAGCATGGCTGTTCACGCCAGAGAGTCATCTCTACTGTTGTGTTTTGTTCAGGAGGGCGAGGGATCGGGCAAGAGAAAAGCAGAGGACGATGAAGAAACGGCCACCAAGAAGGCAAAAAAATATGTCATCAGCGACGAAGAAGAAGAGGAGGAGGAGGTGGAGGATGAAGAAGAGGATGACGAATAATTCATTTTTTTTTATCATTCCACTGTATTATCAGTGCCCACATGGCATATAACCAGCCATATCTTGTTTTGTAGATTTTTCTTAAGACGTGTGTGGGGGTGAGCGTGTTATTGTTTATGTTCTGTACAGCCGAGGAGAAAATAAAGAAACGTCTCCTTATGTAACATATGCTTCCAAAATCCATTTTTTTTAACCATCTTTTGTAACATTATGATTCATATGCATGAGTCACACTGTGTGAGATTATGAAACATAAAGATCAGTCCAGGTACTGAACAATACAGAGGTTAAGGTGGTGAAGGTTGTAGGTTTGTTAGAGATTACATTGGGTAAATAACCTAACAGAGACAGGCACTGCATAACACTGACTCCCATTACAAAACAAAGCACAGACAATCATCTAGCCCTGTGCCAATTCAGTTGATGCAGTTCATGCAGATAAAATGGTGCCCTTGAGGAAAAAAGGGTGGAGAGAGTAGTTTGGGGATAAAGAACCAGCTGAACCCACCTGACAAGAGACGCAAAGGATTAGGACATTTTGGAACTGAGACAAAAGAGCTGCAGTACACGGGGAGAGAAGATCCTCCTCAGCATGTCTGTCAGCCCAGAGGGAAGTGAAGGTTTGCAGGCATAGCTGGGAATTAAAAATCTAAGTTGGCATCAACATCTACCTCACCTACACAAGCGTCCACTGCTTGAAGTCACAGCTACATGATAACATATCAGTAAAATATCCATCTTTTACTTGAGTTTACACAGCATTGACAACCTGAAACTCCATAGAAATAACCTTACAGCTTTGTTCCATTTGATCACTTTGCTGGCCTGTTTGAAATCAGTATCAGATAGCCTACATTTGTGGACCCCCAACAAGCTAACAGATGTAAACTTTAAGAACAATGAAAAATGTAAACCCTGTTAAGTCAAAATATTACAATATTCCCTTATTGAAACATACATAACATTGCCTTCATTTAGAAATATTCAATCGTCTCAATAACATTAAATCCTAATGCTAAATGCTCTGTGAACTCTACAGCCAGTAGAGCAGCTCAAGTTATTGACACAATAGTGCTAATGAACTAGATGCTACTGTTAGCGTGCTAACATATTGATGTTAAGCAGAGTTCATTTTCACCATCTAACAGTGTGTTAGCTTGAGCCTATTAGTACGTCCTGATTCTTTGCAGCACAGAATGTAAACACATTTTTTTTAAATTTAAATAAGAACATTTTTGATTGTGGATCAAAGTGGTGGACTGTACAGTCTATGTGACAGACCAATATTGCTAACCTAACCTAATGGAGCCAGTAAGGCTAAATGAGTTATGTATTGTGTATTGGATTGACTGTTTTTGTATTTAGTCATCATACACACTACAATATTTGTAAACAATATATAGGCCTACAGTCAAAAGTTAGTTTATTATCAATTACAATCCCAAGAAACTCTGTCTCAAAAACTCCTTCAGTCTTAATGTCACAGATTTTTTACGAAATAGCCCCATCAATTTTGTTTTGAGTTCCAAAAATCATGAATTTAGTTTTTTTAATATACAATGTAGAGACAATTTATTAACATCAAACCAAGTTTTTATAGCTTCAATGCTCCATTTCTGCACTACACAAAATGTATTTTCAATTTTTACAAATACATTTGTATAATCTTCAAAAATCATATATTTTAAAAAGCAGTTTCAATGTAAATGTCATTGATATGAAGTTTAATTAGTATTGGGCCAATCACAGATCCCTGGGGATCCACAATTAACCAGCTTCCTTGTTCTTGACATGTATCATTCATTTGTACACATCGATGTCTACGTTCTAAATAGAAGAAAAAATATAATCATTACCTCGTACCTCATTCTTCTCTAACCTTCTCAGTATTTGTTTGTGATCTTTAGTATCCAAAGCTTTCTGCCACTCAATGTACAACCCCATGGAGCAGTCATCAGTTTCAGTTGTTTGCTATATTTTTCTACCATTTGCATTACTGCACAAGTAGTGGTTCTACTTTCCCTAAATCCTTTTCGGTTTTTATTCAGCAATTTATTTGTTTTACAAGTTAATAGATTCAAATGTTACACAAATAACTTCTAGAAAAACATAGAAAATTGAGGAAGAAGGAAAACTGGTCAAAAGTTGTCCATGCGGTGCTTATCTCCATAAAAAAAAATGGAATGACCTTTGCTAACTTCATATTGTTAGTAAAAAACCTTTTGATAGACAGATTGCATCTATAGGTCAAAGGTCTCGAAACAAATTTCATAATCTCTGTAATAATAATCACGTCAACGTAATGTATGTCGGTTAATCTTTTTCGGTTGAAATTTCTTACAATTTCAATTATAATCATCATAATTTATCTACCCGACTGAGAAACACTGAACTCATATAATTATTTTTCTGATTATTGAACATATCTTTTGTGTCATCAGAAGCATTCATCTTTGCTAAACTAGTGCCACCATCCGCAAAACAGTTATTGAAATCATCAACAACATTTTTAAGTTTAACTTTACTATTAGAATAATATGACTGATTACTTTCAAAGTCCTTTAACATTAATATTAAGTACTATTGATTTGCTATGTGATTGTATAGGTGCCAAACATGTATATTCTTTAACTCATTAAAAACCACAAAAACCTGTGTAACAATAATTATTAATTTGTTTCCCTACCAAGTGAGTGTTTATATCTTCAGGTAACTACTATCATTGTGACCTTTGTCTGATGTCAACCTAGTTTCGGTTCCAAAATTCCTTTAGTAGATTATAATGGAAAAAACTATGATGTACTTATTGAAGATCTAAAAATAGAATAGAATAGGACATGTCAGTGCTCCAGTTGTTTAAAAAAGCCAGCAAGGTTGGGTGAGGTATTGTGACATGATCCCGAATGAGCCGCAGAGTCACAGGGGAATGTGGAGAACAACAGTCCTGGTTACTGATTCAAGTTCATCAGCCAGAATGACGCACACTGTCACACTCATGCAGACACACACAAACAAACACACGCAGACGCATTAAACCGGGTTCCAAGGGATGGATAACAACCTTCAAATAGGCGCTCAAGCCCAGTCTGCTCCAGACTGAACTGGCTGCAGCCACTCAGGGTTCAAAACTGGTGAAACAGCAGCAAAGTGATGAAGTAAGAGTTACATAAATTGGCTGCATTCTCTCACTTGGCAACGGCCCCTCTTAGCCCCACACACGCACACACACACACACACACACACACACACACACACACTTAAATTCATAACCAGATTCTATCTCTCCTTCACACAAGCACCCCTTTGACGTGGCTAATGTCAGTACAGGGAGCAGTATGAAAGACATCTTGAACACCTTGCACAGGATACACCCTCTTGTTTGTAAATAGTACCCTTATAATGTATTTAAAAATGTTAAGTTTAAATCAGATTGTTGTGTAACAAAACCTCTCCAATGCTGAAGGTGAGTAGTAGTACCAAGCAACATAAGCCTGTCTATCATTGATTCATCATCGAACAGGCCTGAGTGTGCAGATGCTTGTGCATGCGGCGTTGCACATGCAGCAGTGAGTGGAAACTACCTTCCTCGGTATAGCGCATGCTAAGCTATATATAGTCCACACAATATGAATTTTTAATACTGCTTCATGCAAATGTTGTGTCTTGGTTGCCTTGGGAGAAAAGGTACTGTCGGTGGTGGTGTGCTGCGTTATCTCAGACTGCAGTGGGTTATGTAAACCCCATTCCACCCAGTGAGGAGGGGGGGGGGGGGGGGGGGGGGGCGAGAGAGAGCAGGAGAGGGGAAGACACTGCTACACACACTCAGCACTGACTTAAAGGGGATGAGACAGAGGGGAGGGCTGCAGCATTTCAACCTCTCTTCTCTCCTCCTCCTGCTCCCCCTCCTCCCTCTTAATCTTGTCTTTCTCTTGTTATCACTTCAGTTGTTTCTCACAGATTTACCCCGTCCTCGCTCTGTCCAGCCTCAGCCTGGACTCTGTTACATCACATTCTCTGTACAGAAATCACAGACAGCAGCAAAGCAGAGCAGAGACAGCTTGTTTTTTTTTATTCCTATAGAGCCTGCAGGCGCACACACTGAAACACAGAGAATTCCTGGTGACAGTCGAGGGGTTAGGTTGACTTGGCCACTTTGATGCCAATTAAGGCCCGAGGGGAGCTGTGGGTTTGGTCAGCGTTAAGCCAGGTGCTTTACGGAGGTGTGTTTACATGATTCTCTCACAGTCCTCTTTGTTTGCTTTCACTGATGCCCTGGGTGACATGGAGTGTGTGTTCTTGTATCCAGTTGCAGCACATTGTGTCGGTTACATGTTTTTTCTTTTGATACTCAGGTAATATTCAGTTCATTTCTGCATTTTTATGTCCCATGGCTAAAACACTCGTTTGAAGTTAAGGATACACAATATTGATAACGTTGATTTATGGTCAAAGATTGATTCTGAGTGGTTCGGAACAAAACCTCATTGTGAAATTTTACATTTTCTTTGTCCTTCCTCTTTAGATGGAAGATACTTTTCTATTCTGTAAAATGTATACACTGTGTATGTATGCATATCTTACAAGCATGTTCCCTACAAAGAAAACAAGAAGTAATTAAAGGTTTAGACTCTGCAGACCATCATCCAAGAGCAATGTAATTCAAAAATGGCATTATTAGTATTAAGTGGTATTGCCATATAAGTAATTATTGGTAATTAGATGAACACTTTCTGGCAATAAAATAAAAAATTTAAATAACATATCAGCAATTTTGCCCTGCTGGAAAACCTCCATTCCTGATAGTTCTCATTGTTTTTTTTACATTTCCTTTGTGTTATACCATCTCATTTGGAGAAGTACTCACAGTATTTTCCAGAAAATAAATTTGTATTACTGCGAATCTTTAATGATATGTTTCAAAGTCTTTTATTTTCTGCCTCATTTGTCCCTTTCTCTCGCTTAATTGAATTCTGTTCCTTCTCTAAACTGCCTCAACAACTCGGTGTACCCTGACTGTATTTCATCGCTCGGTGCCCTTTAGCCCCATCTCAGTGTGTCCCACCCCCCTGCTGCTGCTTACATAAGAGGCTAATAAATAAAATAGAAACACAATACTCCACTCTCACCGCAGGATCCTCAGAAACACTCACACATGACACTGGCC